GTTGTTCACTGCACTTCAATTTCTGCTCAAATTTTATTTTCTTTCATCATTTTTTTTATTTTTATTCAATATTTTGACAAAATATACACCAATAAATGTATTTATTTTGTTAAATACATTAAAATGCCATGTCAGCAAAAAAACACCATGTCATTGACACGTGGAACGCTACGTCAGCTGTAAAAATGCCATGTTAGCACAAAAAAACCCAAAATTTGGCCCTGTGATTCGAATTGCAGAAAATAGTCGAAGTGGTGTATTAAATTGCTAAATTGCAAAGGTGGTGATTAAATTGCAAAAACATGAAATGTGGTGTATTAATATGCAATTTTTTCTTATAATAAATAAACTAACAAAAAAAAGAGGGAGGGGGGGGAATTGGCTCAGGGATATTTAGGGGGTGTATTAAATTTAAACTTTTAGAGACTTTTTAAGACTTATAGAATTCTGGTGAATTCAATTAGAACTTTGAGACTTTTAAAAACTTTTATAAGTCTCTAAAAGTCTCAGTGTATTCAATTAAAACTTTCTAAAAGCCTCTATAAGTCACCATGCATGTATTCAAAATAGGAAGATGAGACTTTTTTAATTGTGAGATATTTAGAGACTTTTCTAACAAAATTACAAAGATAAAGTCCCAACAGAAATCTAATCAATATTGGTAAGATTTTGCTGGACTTATGTGACTCTCTTTAGGCTACCTTTCATATTTCTTTCTAACACGACTTTGTATCTCATATCACTTTAATGCTCTATTATTTTACTCATTTATTTTAGTACCTTGTATAATTTTTTATTAATATTACGTATATTTAACGTGATCTTTATTTTATATATTTTTTTATTATAATTATTTTATGTATATATACCTTTATTCTCTCATTTTGTTATCTTGTGAATTTGACCTTTCAAAAGGTTAAATGCTTTCATTGTTAGCACTTGCAAATAATTTATTAGTTCTCTCTTTTTATTTGTCAATGTTTGTTTTTAAATATTAGAAAAATATTTTATTTTCTAATAGTTTATTTGTTGATATTGAATTATTTTGAATATCATTGATAACTTTATAAAATATAATTACTGTTTTCGACAATTTTGTATCTTTCATAGTTCGATTCGTTGAAGCTCGGATTGATTTGCTCATTTAATAAACCTAAAATGCTAAACAATTTGTTTGTGAATAACTCATTTTGCATAACAATAAGTTGATTCATAAATTTTTAGAGGATTAATATAAAAACATTTTTTTTTTCGTTTTTTCTTCTTGATATTAGTTATTATGTTACGTTAATTAATGTTTCATTCAAACATAATATTATAACTAGAAGTATATAAAAGTCTCAATAAGTTTTAAAAAGTCCATTATGAAAGTCTTAAAAAGTCACTAATAAGAGTTCTCTAAAAGTCTCACAAAGTCCATAAAAGTCATGAAAGTTTTACAAAGTCCACAAAAATCACCAAATTTTAAAAATTTTAGAAAGTCTTTAAGAATTTCAATTGAATACAACCCCTTAGCTAAGCATAATATAGTTAAAATGCTCTGTTTCATACTCACCTCATTTTCCACTTCAAAATGAACCAAGAATTTTAGGCTTGACACGTGGCGCTTCAAGAGGCATCTCAAATTCCCTTTTATTAAGATGTAGATGGACTAGTATGCATACTAAATAAATTAAGAAGAAATAGTTATTTTTACTTCGCTAGGAAGATGAATTACATTTTTTTCACCACTAATTACTAAGTTAATTTTTCACCCCATAAAATGCAAAATATATTATGCGATTAACTATGTGGTCGTGGACAGACAAGCGAAGATAATGAATAATTGCGAAACAAATTATGCGATTAGCGATGTGACAGACAAACGAAGATAATGGATAAATTGCGAAACAAATTATGCGATAAACTAGGAAACAAACAAACGCATATAATCGATAAAGAGAGAAATAATTATGCGATAAGATATGTGACAGACTTGCGGAGGTATAATTGTTGACAGATCATTTAATAGTAAAAACAAAAACCGTTTACATTTTATATTAATAGAGTAATAGTTATATTTTTTATTGTATCACAATGTTCTTATTAATGATTATATTTTACACTAAATGATATATAAAAGTTAAATAAACATAAAAAAAATATTGTAAAAAATATTCTGCTCAAGTTAGTTATTCAAAATCAATATTATATTATTTTATGTGATTAAGCGATTTTTTTAAATAAATTATTTTGTTATAATGTCATAGTTAAATAATTTAAATCCGCATAATCATTTTTTGTAGTCAGTTTAGTATTTTTCAGCTAATTAATTGTCATGATCTCTAAATTACAAAAATTACACTTTATGCAATCAATATAGTGATTCAGATATAATGATCAAATATGATAATAAGCATAAGCTTTTAACTTATAATACTCTGATTACTATTTATTTTAACCAATGATCGAATTTAGAAACACAATGTCATTACTTTACTTAAGTTTTATTATAAGAGCATCTCCAATGCTCTAATGTTGTTATAGAATTTTTTTGACAAATGTCAAAAAATTAAATATATTGTGAACCATGTAGGACAAATGTTGAGTTCACAACTATTAAATTAAAAAATCATCTCCAATGCACAATGTTGTCTAATTACAATATTATCTACTTGCCAAATAATAAAATATTAATATGAATTAATAAAATTAAATAAATAATTAAATGGTTTGAAGATGGTAATAATAATTCTCTCTCTTCTCCTCATTGGCTAATTAGAATGTGGAATAGAATGTGGATGAACCACATTCTTCTCTACATTGTGGACATTAATTATGTCCACATCATCACAACATTTGTGATCACATTGTACATTGGAGGATGAAAAATTGTGATATTAATAAATGTGTTGATGTGGAGTGTATAAACACAACTTATAATATTGTGATTAAAATATACTATAATTACTAACTTATAATTTTAGTATTTATGCATACAAATAACTTCTAATACTTTATTTACATCTGAACAAATGCACATGGTCAAATACTAGTATACAAGTCAAAATGTGTTCACCTCTTTTCCCAATTTAGTGGAAGACATGTGATTTGGGACCCATTTATCTTTGTTTTTCCCCTCAAAAAGTACTACACAAATACATATGAAGTTTATTTTCTCTTTAGAGTTATGTGGGATTTTGCATTGCCAAAGACAAAGGATAAATACATATGAAGTTTATTTTCTCTTTAGAATTATTTGGAATTTCGCATTGCCAAAGACAAATGATGAATATTTTCACTTTATACGGGAAGACTTTTCAAATAAATGGCTTCCAACAACTGAGCAATCATTTTGTACCATCCTTCTACATTTTATTCAGTCTAAAGGGTTGACCACCGAGGCTGACATAGTTATGGCATTTCACAGAATTTACCTAAGTTGTTTGGTTGAAACTGGTCAAAATTTCACTTTTAAAAAATGATTTGTCATGTTCATGGTCAAACATTTAAAAATGTTGTTTCCTACATGCACTCGAAGACCATCTATCTTGACAGCTACGATCGCGAGATAGCAATTGAGAGATGTTGAAATTAACTTGTTATATTATTTTTTTGACAATTTTTTTTTTTTTTATTATTCACTATTTCGTACTTCCATTTTTTTGTACAGACTTTTCAAAATCTACTATCATAAGTTTATATGGTTCGTAACTCATTTTTCAGTTTTAGTCATTAGTACACCGTTATTTTAACAATCCTGAGCCTATTTGAAAAACCTTAAAAATAATTTTCGAACCACTACGGCTTGACCCATATCTTGAAATTTTTTTTATCTAGAGTTCAACATAACTCTCGCACAATCAGCCAATTACTTGAAGACTACCGGGCCGAAGAGCGACGTATAGCAGGTCAAAGAAGAAGGAGCGAAAATTGACATTGCCGTTGCGTCGTTAGTTTCTTAAATTTGGCAGCCAGTTGTTGCGTCATTATTATAGTTAGCAGTTTGCTATTTTATGTATCTTTCTGAAGATTTAAAAATAATGTTGAAGTTGAAGAAAATGTGTAACGGTTTGTATTGTCAATTACAGTCTGCATTGTGTAGTATGTTATGTTCAATTGTATTTGTTGATATTTGTTGAAACTTGAAATTAGCAATTTTCAAAATACAATTCTAACTAAAAAATTAATATTGAAAAAATACGGCACAACAAAATTATTGGTAAGATGTTCCCAAATTTGTTATACCGATTCAAATATATTGTTATATGTCCGTTGTCTAAATTTTTTTTCAGCCATGGGAAAAGTTGTGCCACACCAAATTGGGTTCGGGTTGGCAATCCAAAAAAATATCATCAAAACAAACAAACATATCGCCTATCTGCTACAGTCTTATTACGGAACCATTCTATCGGAATTTGTAACTGTTAGATCATCATATAACCATCGTGGATAGTTGATCTAACGGTTACAAACCTCGATGGAATCGTAACGGAACCATAGAATCTCCCCGCCTATAGAACTTCTCAATCATGTAACCGTCGTGGATAATTGATCTAATGATTACAAACCTCGATGGAATGATTCCGTAACGGAACCATAGAATCTCCCCGCCTATAGAACTTCCCAACTTCGGATTATTGGTTTTATTGGCAGTCTTTTTAGTTCAAACTGACATAACATAGGACCCACTTTATAGACTACACCATAGGCCTGCAGAATAGAATAAAGCATGGCCCACAGAAGAATTGGGAGAATTGGGCCAAAAATCATTTCTGGTCACTGAAAAACCACATCAAGTTCTAACATTTGCTCCAGCTGGAGCTCCAAATTACAAAATAAAGAACAACTGAAAACCAAACTACTACTGGCAGCAAATGCAAATATAAGCATCAACAAAACAATACATTTGCCGTGACTTTAGCAAGCAGCCCCCTAGGCCAACACATTCATCAAATGCACCAGGAGTACATAGATATAGTCATAACTCAACTGTGCACAGATTCACTAACACATAGTACCTAATATCTTCTGACGGTGATAAAAGGCGTAGAGATCAAATGTGGAGCTATTTCAGGTGAAAAGCTATCGTCAATTTTCTTTGTCATCTGTGAATTTGGAGTCGTAGGCACCAACTTGTTCTCAAGAGGACTAAATGGCTGGCGAGGCCACTGGCTCGTCGTCTTAGTAGGACGTAAACAAGCCAGATAACTGCCACGTAGTTGGTTGTTGCAAACCGGGAGCTTGCTCGTCTTTATAGTGCCTTCTTTTTCCTTGGGCACTGGTGCCCCGGACGGGTCCTGTTTTAATATACAAAAAAATGCTTCAAGTAAAAGGCATTCACATTCAGTACTAATCAAGTAATGACAGTTGTAAACACAAGATGAGAAGTATGCAATTGGAATGTAAAAGGCTATATAGCTTGGTATGGTATGCTCAAGAAAATCCTTTACTGGATCTGCAGAGTGTGACGACTTCTAACTATTCATAGTCTATGACCATGCAATATAAATGTAGCTAAGCTACTACTATTAAAGCTACTTGCCTGCATAATATTTGGAAACAGAAGAATTTGTGTCACAAAATGTAGGTTTAACTGCAGAAATGCAAGTAAGTAAATATAATATGGAAGAAACCCCTGTGAGGTATAGGTCATTTCTAAGGAAAAAAAAAGTACCAACAAAATGTTACACTTGAATGTTTATCTTTTTACATTTAAGTTTCTTATTAATTTAATAGGTAGTTGTATATCCTTCATTTTTGGAACAGTTTGAACGGCAAAAGCACTAATTATATGAAATGCATCTTAAAAGCGGAATTTATAAGATTGGTGAACAGTAAGTATAAAAAACCACTACCAGACAATATGCAAAAGCAGCAGGAAGAACATACCCCAAGAACAAGAAAAGTGAAGGCTTCCCCAGTGAGATGAATCTCAATCAGCTTCCTCAAATCATCAAGACTCGAATCCTTGGAAACCTTCATAGTCGTGATAAACTTCCCCGTATTCTCTTTAGACGCCTCCCATTTCACATGCACGTCAACACCATCATCATCACCACTAAAACTCTCATCATCCAAAGGATTTCTATCTTCTTCCTTAAGATCCTTCACAAGATCATCCTCCAGTCCTACATTCTGATCCATCATCGCAAGTTTATCGGACACGAAAACATCTTTCAAGACATCCGCCTGAAGTCGAGAGACCTTGTCAGCCATTACTCCTGAACCACAATCGTCGACATTGCTGGTGCTATTATCCTTCTGAGAGAGCTCTCTATAGTTCCCACAGAGGGTGAAAATATTCTGGATCCTTAGTTGACGAGAACTGGTTGCATCTTCATGATTTTCAAGCTCACTATTAGGAAAAGATGCCTCTGGTGTGACTACCATCTTTTTCTCCTCGATAACCTCTTTCTGCACCTCATCATCATCATCCTCGTTTTCATACTCATCCTCCTCATACAAAGTCGTCAGGCATGCCTTGTTGGGCAAGAAACCATGCATTCCTTCATTAAAGCTGTTAATGCAACCTGAAACAGCAGTGTTAGTAGTAGTCTCCATGTCGATGGATTTGGACAGGTCCATCGACTTCACCATATCCGAGTCCTCATTACAGACCTCTAGCAGCCTTTTCATGAAATTCCCCCCATCGATTTCTACTGTCTCGCCCCCTGCCCTTGATTTACGAAGGAGCTCTTTCTCGATATCTTCCAAACGCTGCCTTAGAAACTCGACCTCTCTCTGCTGCTGGGACATTTTCTCCTCCATCTTTCTCCTTTCCATCTCTAGAACCTCAGCAGCCATTTTCTGGCACTCGAGTACTTTCCTTTCAAGCTCATTTTTCAGCAGCCGCGTCCGTTCATTGACTTTCAAGTTGATCTCCTCCTCGCTCGCTCGTCCCTCGACCAATGCGAGCTTTGCTCTCAGTTGAGAAACTTCCTCCTCCTTACATTTTAGCTCTTTCTGTGCCTCATTCTTCTCTTTTTCCTTGATTTTGTTCTCCACTTGTAGTTTGCAGATGAACTGATCAAGGGCTGCTATTCTCGACCCTAAAATCACGGCAGATGAAGAATCTTCGGCCCCTTTGTCCTTAACAGGAGTGTGAGGGCCTCGGACTATGCATTTGGCCTTTGCACCGTACTCTAAGGTTGCAATGGTTTTGTGTAGTTCCTTTGGGTCTGGACTCGCACATAGTATCATCAAGATTTTGGATTTGTCATCCTCAAAGGAATCCTATTTTTAAAAAATAAAAGGCCGAATCAATTTCAGAAATATCAAAATGATTCATAAACTGTAAAACAAATGGTATTCGGTATACCTGAAGAAGCATAGTCAACTTGCTATCTCTAAAGGGGACATGTGAGTCACCATTTGCGATCGACTCGACAACTCTCTTAAGTGCTATATTGCCCTGGTTGATCTTAGCAGTCTGCACACATGTGAAAATACTGAGGCTAGCGCATTTGTCGTGATTGAGGAGCATCAAGTCTCACTAGATTTTCAGAACATTACAAATCAACAAAAATGTACCTGCATTTTTGCTTCCAGTCCACTTTGCCCTGCTTGTTCTATATTTTCCGAACCTGCCATGTCCACAAGCAGTAGACGTCCCCCAACCGTAGGGACATCGACAATTATCTGCATTTTTTGTGGAAATAAAATGACTCATTAATTATTGGATTTCACATATCAGTGAGTCAGGTAAATCATGAGAGTGATCTGAAAATCGTACCAGACAGTGGCTTCGAGAGCTCCTCTCGTTGCACAGTGTACTTTTGACGATCCTTCTCTTCTCGACCTTTTGAATTTCTTTCAGTATTTTTCCTGCCTCATTTCCTGAAATGAATGTTGCATTTTTTGCCTTCTTTCCCATCACTTCCAATTTCACCTATGGTAAAAATCATGAAGTTGTTGATACATGATTAAAAATTAGCAGACTAAGCATCGAGATGACTAGTGTTTGAGCATCGAGATGACTAGAGTTTGATCTCATTATCAAATTAATGACCTATAAAATACCTGCTGAGCGCCAACCCCGAAAATTATTCAACCAGTGATCTCAAAATAACAAGTAAATATGATTGAGGACTACCATAGAACTCAATGTTCACATGATTAAAACTTTGCTTTGTTAAGTAAACTACGAGACAATAAAAGTTAAAAACAACCAACTTCATAGAACCACCAAGCACAGTTACAATGATTTATCCAAAATCTTATACAACTCCAAAAAAGGAAATATATTTATACCTTAGAAGCAGAACTGTTCTTCGACGGCCACCCCAGACCAAACCCAGTGCCCGTCGACAGCAGATCATAAATTTCTTCATTGTAAATTTCCAAAACAGTAACCTGAACAAATGTCCCCAGAGCCAATTTCTCTCCATCTTCCTCTTCAGTCCCTTCACCCAGAATGCCCTTCAAGGAGTTGTAAACTATCCCGGGCTGCTTCAAACACCCAAACATCGTGTGGCTCTTCCCCGAGCCCGTTGGGCCATACATCATGACCGTACATTTCTGCCCCAACTTGACACCATTAACCCTCGACTCCACAAATTTACGATAAAAAACCTCAAGATCATCCTCTTCAGAATACGAGATCCCGTCGAGACTGAAATCTCTGTATCCCATCTCTGTTTTGACTCTCAGAGATTTTCCATCTCCGTTGATTTGTAGGGCTGGGGTAGGGTTTGCGTTGGGCTTGTTCCTCTGCTCGGGATGATCTCGGATTCTGCCGACGACTTCAACTGGGTGCTCAGACGGAACGGCGCCGGCGGCCGCAGTGGTGAATCCGGTGAACTGCAGGCGGTGCTTCGACTGAGGAGTCCTGGATTGGTGGGCGGCTGTGTTGGGCTTTGTTGACGGCGTAGAATGGTTCGATTTTGATGAAGGCGTCGGCGCCATGTATAAGATTTGAGGAGAACAATTTCACTGTGATTAATGAATTTGAAAGAAGAATGGAAGAGAAAAAGTTTGATTTATCCCGAAAACCTAATTTGAAAGAATAGGGAATTATCCCGAAAACCTAATTTGAAATGAAAAAGTAGCCGTTTCAAATTTTGTAACGGCTATTTCTGTGAGCCCGTGGCCCGCGTGGGTTCCGTTAACACGCAGCGGCCCGGACTTTGTTTTGGGCTCTTCACCAACTCATAAGTAATAATCATAATAATTTTCATATGTTTTCTTCTTTTTATTTTGAGACTTCCTTCCTTTCAAAATTACAGGAAATGCTATGGTTCTGTTACGGTACCATCCCATCGAGTGTTTTAAAAATATCCGATGGAATGGTACCGTAACGAGACCGTAGCATTTCCCTAAATTTACGGGGGCATAATGATGCTTATGACATGTTATAAATATATTTATGCAATTGAACAAGCTCATGTCCTTGAAATAGTTAAACATATATTACAAAATTAAAATTGTATTTAATAATCATATTCCTGAGATTAAATGTAATAGTTACTTTGAGATTTACACTATAGTAAAAACAAAAATATTTTGAGGTTCTCAATAGCAAAAAGAAATTCATTTTAGCAATTGTGAACTCCTCCTTCAATTTAATGATGTGATAAACTTGCATGTAGATGTAACATATAATTAATTCAAATTTAAATAAGAATCAATTAAATTTGAAATATTTGATTTCAAAAAATATATATATATATATATATATATATATATATTTTATGATGATAATTAAAAAAATACGAAAAAATCTGTATTATTGAATCCACCAAGACAGCGGCCGTGATCCAACCAAATTTTAGTATATGTCAATCAAATATGTTGTGAGAATCTCGTAAATAAGTGTACATATTGTGGTCAAATGTATATATTGGACAACTAAAGGTACGCTGGACATTACACACAATTTCAACTCACCTACCCACCCACCTGTGGGCCCCACCCCACCTTACCCCACTGAACCCTCTCGCTCACATATAATCACACACACACATAGGTAAAACACATAATCCTTCGGTCTCTGCTGGCCACCGCCGCCAGCGCCACCGACTTCCTCTGTCGTCTCCTTTCTCCATCTATAGACGCTTCTTCTCCTGCACACTACAAAAATCACCAATTGTCGGCCTCCGTCAGAAATCGACAACCTATCGAGCCTCGAGCAAAGCACCAGGCACGGATTTCGCGGACAACTGAGTGGCGAGATCCCGAGGAGCATTAGAAGGTTAAAGTACCTTAAGGCCTTTAAAGTAGGCGAGAATTAAAATATCGTGGGCCATTCCAGACAATGATTTGGTAGGCGGCAAGACCGAGCTGTGTTTGGGTGATTATTTGGACACTGACGATTTTTGGATGGTTTTTTGGGTGGGTTGTTTTTTAATATTAGATATTTCATAGGGATTATCTGTGATTTTAAAAATTTTAAATATTTTACAATTGCGGGTCAAATCTATAATTCATAAAATATATTAAATACACAATAATGATAAATAAAATGCAAAATCCTGTGTATATGTGCACATTAAAAACTAAAAAATTTACCAAAATGTCAACATGTTACATATTGCATAATATTGTGTTGGATTCTAAGAGGAACGTCGTCGATATACACATCCAAATCTATTAAAAGTAAATCCTAACACAACGAAATTTATAGTTAGGATCATGACTTAAAATTTTTGTCGGCTATGTACACACATATACGGCCTACAGGGCTGGAAGAACGGTTCTGAGTTGTTCTTCACACAAGACTTCTCTTCCTCTCACATCGTTGTTTGTCGTGCCCATCTCGGCGAGTCGCTTGTCCATCGCGATCTCCACGTCACGTCTTCTGGTGTTCGAGTCACGTCTGGCATCGCCTTAAGCTTGTTCGACTGCTATTAAATCGCACCCGGGCTGCTGGATGTGGTACGGACTCGCCACTACTTGCCTAGTGCGCGGACGACTTGTCTGGGGTCTGCTGGTGCGCTGGTTACTGGGGGTCGTGTTGTCTGTTGCACTGGTGGTCGAGGCTCGCACAGACTGGTGCGCTGTTGGACGAGATTTCGCGTGAAGGGCGCTGGTGACTGAGACTTCGCACGGAAGGGACGCTGGTGGCTGAGACTTTGCGCGAAATGCTGAGGCGCAATTCATGCAGAACACTGGGGAGTGTAGCGCGCGCTCTTGCGCGGGCAGCGCGTGATCCTCCAACGACGGCGCATGGGGTTGCACTAGTGGAGCTGGGATGCCTGTGGAAGCATTTTCCTCCGGCAGACTCCAATTTTTGTGGTCATCCTAGGTGTTGCGGAAATA